TCTGCAGGAAGCCTCCTTCACTGGGCACATTGTAGCCCCATTTTAGGTATTCCAATGAGTTATAGACAGAAGACAGACTTACAAGCTTTCTATGGATATTTCTTTCTCTCCCCCTCCAGTGTCTATTTTATAATGGGTATGCAAGGGAAACCAAGATTCAAAGACAGCCAAGTATCTTAATATTATTTCCCCATTTCAACCATGTCTCAATCCCTGTATCCCAGAGCTTGTTGTTCCAAGGTTGTGCATACATCATTCTTTACCTCTGTCCCACTTAGCCCATGCAAGCCTGCCTAATTGTTATCCCATTCCCCTCCCCCTTCTTGTATACTGCCCCCTTTCCTAGCACCCAAACTATCCTGAGTCTATTCTGTGCCCTGTGTTCCACCTTCCCCTCCCTCCCCTCATCCCACCCCGCACATCCCAGAAACCAGCATAGAAATCCCCCCTTTAGTATGAAATTATTACTCTTAATGGTATCCCACATAATGTTTAGGCTTTCATAATTACAAAAAAAAAATTTTCCTGATTGATTGTTCCTATGTTGTTGTTAAGTGCCTCTGAGTGAGTTCTGACTCATAGCCACCCTGTATAGGGTTCCCGTGGAGCAGCAGATGAGTTGGAACTGCTGACCTTACAAATCAAATTGACCACGAGATCTAATGTTTATCCTACGACGTCACACCAGGACTCCTATAGATCAGTACTGAGAGATTGGTTTCAATCTCACTAATTCGGTTTTACACTGACTCAGTTCTACTCCTTTGCTCTTTCAATGCATTATGTACTTCTGAAATCTTAGTATTAATCTTCTGAGTTGTTATTTGCTATTTTTGACTGTTTCTAATTTTTAATTTTTTCGTCAGTTTGTTTTTGTAGTGTTTTTCTGTATTATTCTAGAGTTTTGTCTTTGTTTTCCTTGATTTCATATGCACCTTTGCCAAGCTTTCTCTCAATTCAGTGAAAGTGCCAAAATATTATTGTTTTAAATTCTTTATCCAGCAGTTCTAATGCCTTTTCTTTAACAAAATATTTTCTGGTGGTGTATTTTGGTCTGAGCCACTGTCTTGTTTCCTCATGTGAACGTAAATTGTCTCTTCTACCCAAGACATTGTGATGTTGTTGTATTTGTATTTAACTGGTGACCATATGCTGATGTATTCTTCAGCATTCACCACCGGTCTTCTGCTGAGTGTGACACAAGGTGAGACTGTGTATGCAGTTCTCTGTTTATTCTTCTTATAGTGAAGTTGAGGGTGTGTTGTGCCAGTGGTCACCGCCATCTATTGTTGATCAGGTGTTGCAGTGCGAGGTAGCCCTGATCCCATGGGTGGGGCTCTGAGAGGTGCAGGTGTGATTGGGCAGTGTGGACGTGGTTGCTGCCTCACTAAGGGTGGGACAAGGTGGAAAAAACAAACAGCAAGAAGAGAGCTTTTTAAAAATCAAGGGAAAATCAAGCAACAAGAAGAAAATTAATAACTTTTTTAAAAAGGGAAAGGAAAACAATAAAACTAGGAAGTGGGAAATAAAAGAATAGTAAAGAAGAAACAGAAAAAATACAGGAAAAGAAGAGGAGGAATAAAAAAGAAGAAAGAACACAGAAAAAGATTTTTAAAAAAAGAGAGAGATAGGGAAAAAGAAGAGAAAACCGGGTGAAGGCACAGAAAGGAGAAAATTGGGAAAGAGAAGAGAGCAGAGCCTGCAGTACAGGTTGGTGCCCTCTGCTGGCCAAGGAAGTTATGGGCAGGGCAGAGGGAGTGCATATTGCCTTCTCCTAGATGGAGTATCTCTCTGCCAGCATAGAAAGTGTCTGGAGTCAAGACTCCTGGCCCCTAGAGGAGCTGGGTTAGGGCACCTTATCCCGGAACAAGTTCCTGCCTGTCCCAAAGGTGGCTTGGAGCAAGGTGTCTGCTGACATAGAAAATCCCACTAGTCCAAGGAGGTGGAAAATGTGTGCCCTATCCACAAGAATCGTTTCTCTGCCATCAGACAGAACAGGGGCTATGTGAAATGGGCACTGGCCATGCTTCTGGTTACCAGAAGGGTGTGGGGAACAAAGGGAACACCTAACCTAGTCACTGTTGACTGGTGTGGATATTTGTATGGTCCTGGGCAAGTGGAAGGAGCCCTGGTGATGCTGTTGGATAAGCACTGGACAGCTAATGGCAAGATCCACAATCCAAACCCATCAGTTGCTTCATGGAAGAAAAAGGAGGCTTTCTACTCCCATAAAGATATGCAACCTCAGAAACCCTACACACTCACTGGCAGTGGATTTGGTTTGAGGGGAGAGTGGAACCGATTATCTGACTACTTCCCCTATCAAATACTGCTTGCAAAACTTCAAAATGGCTGTGCTATGTCAGGTCACCTAATAATTCACTTTTCTGTTTGTCTCCTCATTCATTGCTTTTGTTCAGCTTCTTCTAGTTGGTCCTTTCCCCTGAAACTCATGGTTCCAGCATTATGTCCGTATCTGTTTCTCTTGGTCCTGTGACTTTTTTGTAGAGAATCTGGATAGTGTGTCTGTCTGGTTCACCAATCTTGCAAGAAGTCCCTTCATAAGATTTCCAAGGCTATAAATCTTTACGGAATCAGTCTGCCACATCTTTCTCTTGTTCAACAGTTGAGGGATTGATAACCTTTTGATTAGCTGTCAAGTGTTTTAAGCTTGTTCCACTGGGAATTATAGGCGAGAAGATTCCTGACTGATCAGCAGTTCCTTTGATCCTGGAATGGACCTTTGAAACCACCAGGGACTTTCTTCCTCAAGCTTTGTTCTCCATTCCACTCCCGTAGTTTTACTAAGTTTCTTTGCCTCCACCCAAGTCAAAACTAGAAGTCTCTGTACTCCCCCTCAGAAATTTGGTGCCTCCTACTCTGAGCTGCCTTAACCTGATTCTAGAACTTTCTAAGGAATAGGAGATGATCTCGGGTGCTTAGTCCAGGCTGGTGTCTGGGTTTGGCACACGCCTCCCAACCCCCAATTGTCCTGTCCATTCTCAGGATGATCACATGAGCCTTACTCAAGTGGTCCATGGAAGTAATGGAAAGTTCTTGAATTTTTTCATTCCCTCAGACCCTCCAAAGACACATGTTACTCACCACCCCATCTCTGACCGTGAGGTCACACTGAGGTGCTGGGCCCTGGGCTTCTACCCTTCTGCTATTACCCTTACCTGGCACCTGGATGGAGAGGAACAGACCCAGGACACAGAGCTTGTGGAGACCAGGCCATCAGGGGATGGGACCTTCCAGAAGTGGGCAGCTGTGGTGGTTCCTGCTGGAAAGGAAGAGAGATACACATGCCATGTGCAGCACGAGGGGCTCTCTGAGCCCCGCATTCTAAGATGGAGTAAGTAAAGGGAGAAGGATGAAATCTCTTCTTAGGGAAAGTAGGAGCCTTTCTTTAGACTTTCAAGGAGTCAAGACTCCTCACCTTCCTTCTCTTTTCAGAACTGTCTTCTCAGCCTTCCACCCCTATGAAGGAAGTCATTTCTATCCCGGTTGTCATGGGAATTGTGGTCACTGTAATTATCATTGGAGCTGTGATTTGGAGGAAGAAGAGCTCAGGTAGAGAGATAGGGGTGGGGGTCTGAATTTTTGTCCCACGGGTGGATTTCAAGTCCCAGGTAGGAGATTTGCTATCTCCTTGCCATCTCCTACCGCATTGCAGAGGTACCATCCATACACGTTATGACCTTATCTGGGGCCTTGTGTGCTAACAATTACTCTTCCATAAAATGTATGTGAAAATGAAGGAGAAATCTTCCACCTTAATGGTTCTGGTGTGGAGACCTGACTCCCTGAGTCACAGGATACAGGGGAAGGTTCCTGATGAGGACAAATTTCTGGGAAGGTGGTTGGTCCAGTCCCTGCACATCTTTTCTCGTGGTTACTTTTCCTGCTGTGGGTATGCATTTGCAGTTCTGGACACTTCCCTGGGGGCCAGGACAAAACAGCTCTTCTAGGACCTGGTGGTCCTACCACCTCCCCAGTCCCTTACAGAACACTATCTTCTTACAGGTGGAAAAAGAGAGAGTAACATTCAAGCTGCACGTAAGTATGAAGGGAGGGACTCGGAGACCCTTGGGGTAGTGTAGATGGGAGCCAATAGGGTAGTCTCGCCTCACCCTATAATTCCCAGTTTCCTGGTCTTAGCTCCTGTGAGCCCTAACCAGATCCTGTTTTTGTTCATCTCCAGATATTGACAATGCCTAGGGCTCTGATACGTCTCTCATTGCTTCTAAAGGTGAGACCCTGGAGGTTTTTAATCAAGGGGACCATTGGGGCAGAGGGAATATGACTGAGTTATGAGGATTCTTTGGGTTTAATATTGCAGTGGACTGTTTTTCATAGTATTAATACCTAAAATGACTGACCTGAATTTGTTTGTGATTCTCTTCTTCTGTAGAATATGCGTAGAATTCAGTGATAAAAGATGTATCTTGAAGAATCCCTGAGTTCTGTTTCAACAACTTATGTCTGTGTTCCTGTCATCGTAATAGAAGGATGTGGGAAGATTAGCCCACTCTTGCCCATCAGGATGCCCTCCCAATAATGACCTGTGTCTCTTCCCTGGTCAGTTTTCCCTATTCCAGAAGATACAGACCTGGACTGTCTGTTATGGGTTGAAATATGTACCCCAAAAATATGTGTTGTAAATCCTAACCTCTGTGCCTGTGTGTGAGACCTGGTGCAGCACTGTAGGATCAGCACAGGACAGGTAACCACAGGGTCAACAGTTCAAACCCACCAGCTGTTTTTGGAAACCCTGTACAGGCTTGCTATGAGTTGGAACTGACCTGATATCACACAACAATATTCCTATTAGTATAATCCTATTATGTTAATGAGGCAGCATTAGTGGAGGGGTGTATCTTGAGTCAATCTCTTGAGATACAAATAGATTAAACAAGAAAGTGATGGGGGAAGAGAGATGCCAAGACACATAGGGTCTCCAAGGTAGAAGGTAGTGCATGGATTGCATGTTGGGCTGCTAACCCCAAGGTCAGCAGTTTGAACTCACCAGCTGCTCCTTCAGAGAAAGATGAGGATTTCTGCTCTCATAAAGATTTACAGCCTCAGAAATCCTGTATAGTGTGGCAATGTGTCAGTACTGATTTGACAGCAAACATCAGCAAGAAACCAGGAAGCAGAAACTTAAGAGGCACAAACCTTCCTCCAGAACCGACAAAGAAAAACTCTTCCCTAAGATGTGGTACCTGAATTCAGACTTCTAGTACTTAACAACAAATACAAACCTAAGAGAAGATAAATTTTTATTTATTTAGGCTGCTGCCCACCCTCGCTCACTCAAGCTCTCCAACCACCGCCCGTTGCCCTCCTTTGGTTCTCTTATTAGTCTGCTGCCACCTCTTCAGCAACCCGCTGCCATTTCGAGCTTGGGACTCTCGGAGTGGCCGTCCATGGTACGAAGAGGCCGGACTTGGATTTGACACAAGAGTGCCCTTCATCTGAGAAATTCAAGGTACTTTGTAGAACTTCTGCCACACAGACTGTGCATCTCGCAGTATACTTATTAAGGAATAAACTGGTGATTGTTCATGATAGAGCTTGTGGCAAGATCTGTTTGCTCTCATAGTCTTCAGCAAGGATCAGTTCCCAGAGGTGTATGTGCCCACAGTGTTTAAGAACTATGTGGCAGATATTGAAGTGGATGGAAAGCAGGTAGAGTTGGCCTTCCTGGACAGGAAGATTATGATCGTCTGAGGCCCCTCGTCTACCCAAACATTGATGTTATACTGGTGTGTTTCTCCATCGATAGCCCTGATAGGTTAGAAAACATCACAGAGACATTGACCCTGGAAGTCGGGCATTTCTGTCCCAATGTTCCCATCATCCTTGGAACAAGATGGATCTTCAGATTGATAAGCACACAAGACAGGAGCAAGCCAAGATGAAGCAGGAGCTGGTCAAACCTAAAGAAAGCAGAGATATGGCAAATAGGATTGTTGCTTTGGGGTACATGGAGTGTTCAACAAAGACCAAAGACGGAGTGAGACAGTTTTTTTAATGACCACAAGAGCAGCTCTGCAAACCAGATGTGGGAAGAAAAAATCTGGATGCCTTGTCTTGTGAAACCTCGTTGCAAGCACAGCCCTTATGTGGTTAATGTTGAAGTGCTGTGTATTAATCTTAGTGTATGATTACTAGCCTTTTTCATTTATCCACAGTTTATCTAAGATTACAATCAGAAGTCATCTTGCTACCAGTATTTAAGAAGCCAACCATGATTGCTGATGATGTCCAACCCCTCTGGCCCACCAGGGCCCCTCTGACACTGCTCTAACAGCCATCCTCTGCACTCCCACCTGATATACCAGGTGCTAATTCAAGGAATTTGTTAACTTCTTGCTTCTTTCTACAAAGAGAAAAAGTTGGTAGCTTTTGTGGATTCAGCTTTAACTACTTTATAACTAACATATCCTGCATATTACCTGTCAGCTGCAGGATACTCTGGTGAGTCACTGCTTCAGAACTTTGCTCATAAGTGTGTTTCATTGGCGCAGCTCTGAAATGGGCATCCAAGTTTTTGAAAATGTGCTCAGCCAGAAAGGCCCAAGTCCATGCAGCTGTGGCAAAGTCACGGTTCTGTGGTTTCATGTTAGTTACCTTATAGTTACTGTGTACATAAGTAGTGCCACTTCATGTATGCTACCAAAAATTAATATAGCTACCCCAGACTAGTTGTAGTACTTTTTGCATAATTGGATTTCCTTATGCTGATATTTGTTATATCCGCAGAAAGTTTTTTGTTTTTTTTTTTAAAGAAAGTATATTTGAAAATAAAGTCAGATGGAAAATTCAAAAACAATAAACCACTGTAATAGTTAGGGTTCTATGTCAACTTGACTAGGCCAGGATTCCCATTATATAGCAGTTAAGATGTTTCATCCCATGATGATGAAACCTAATAGAAGCTCTGTGATGAGTGGATATGAGCAGCCAGTCAACTGAAGAGATGCTTCCTTGAGGGTGTGGCCTGTTCCCAGTATAATGGACATGTGGGAAAGAATCACTGGGGACCTGGGAGTCTGCAGATGTAAGCTATTTCCTTGATAATAAATTTCTCTTTATACTTACATATGTTTCACTGGTTTTGCTTCTCTAGAAATCTCAGCCTACGATAGTTACCCACTTGTATTTCTGTTACAGCAGTACTAGATAACCAAGACAATAAGTAAAGAATATTTTTCTCCAGAAAATTTAAGGAGAAATGATGTATTTTCTACAAGTATATGACAATACAATATTTATATTAAATATAGATAAAGTAAACCTTGGAGCTCAGGGTCCGTGTCATTACCTCATTTTCTTCCCCTACAGGTAGGGCACAGGCTTCTGTCCTGAGTGAACTCCCAATGCAATTTCATCAGTCCCTCATCCATGAGGTTCAGGTTCAGCCCTTTCTAAAGTGTGGCTTAATCACAGGCTCAGTATCACAGGGTCTCCTACCCCCAGTTCTGGAGCAATGTGCGGCTTCTCAATTTTCAACTTGTTCATTTTTGTTACAGCACCTAACAGGCACTCAGAAAAGTTGAATCTTACATTTTTCAACTGAAAGTGTGTTAACTGATATTTGCAAAGAAAACCTGTGCATCTGTGTGTGGCTAAAAAGCCTCAAAAACAAACAAACAAACAAACATGTAATTGAAGAAATCATAAACCTTATAAGCCATCTCTATCCATTCTCATGTCAGTTTATGCTTCATATGTCAGTATTATTCTAGTAAAAGTATCTCACTCTGAGGTAAGATGTGCTAATCCTTACTTTATCTTGTTCCTAAGTGCCAAAGAGTTGGTTCTGACTAATAGCAATCCTGTATAGGATTTCAGAGGAGAAACTGCTGGGTTTGAACCATCAGCCTTGTGGTTCATTCTCCAGTGCTAATCTTATAGTGCCGCACCAGAAGTCAATTGTTATAACTGCTGTTTAGTTGGTTCCAACTCAGAGCGACCCTGTAGGGTTTCCAAGGAGTGGTTGGAGAGCTTGAAATGCTGACCTTTCAAACCTACCTTGCAGTCCAGTGCATTACCCCATAGTGCCACACCAGGACTTCCTTAATTCTGTATAAAAGCATACTTTTTAACCTTTGAAATTCTGCTAAATTCCAATAATGTAAATTGTCTCAAGGATACTGCATTTCAAGATGCAAAGTGTATTGAAAAAATTTAGAGTGCTGTAGGATAGGCACTTGACCACAAGGTCAGTTTGAACTACAATATCAGTGATTCAGATCTACCAGCCATTCCTCATAAACTGAATATAGGGTCACTATGAATCTAAACTAACTTGATGGCACTTAATAACAAAGTCATAACTAAATAACATATTTCCTACAGATTGAAAAAAATCACCTTGATTATTTTTTATTACTGTTTTACTTTAAAATAACACGGAAAGGCTCACCTTTGCAGACTAATAAAACTTAAATGGTAGAATAAAAATACTTTTAAAACAATGAGGGCTAGTGGGGGCAGGGCTTGATGGTGGGTTAGGCAGAAAGACTGTAAAACCCCCATCAGTGAAAGCACGGAAAACTGGAGAAACGGATTCAGAGGACTGTACTGGAACTCTGAACTTCAGATAAAGTGATAAATAAGTGGTTCCAGTGTTTCTGGGAGTTAAGATTTGGAACAGAAATAAGAAAGGAGGTGACTTCTGATCCAGGGCAGCTGATATGTTCTGCCACAGTAATTTTGAATGGGAGTGAGTGGAGAGAAGAACAACCGAGTGCTCCCAGTTCAGGAACCAGTGAGTGATCTGCAGAAATGGGTAAAAGTGTTTTGTTTGTTTGTTTTACTTATCACACCTTTTCTTTTGATTCTTTCTGTTTATTCATCTCTGTGCTGGTGACCAGAGGGGAGACTTGCACAAGTAGACACCCTCAGGGAAGGTCCTACATTGCAAATGCAAGGTTTTGCAACATGCAGGATTGGCACTGTTCTGTGCTGCATAAAGGAAGAAGCTGTACTGTGCACAGGAGAATGAAGAAGAAACATATCCAGGAGTCTTCTAAATTGGATCTGGACAGCCCTAGGTTGGTTCTCACTAAGAACATCAGCTAAAAGTACTTGAGGGGAGGGAGAAAAAGGAAAGCCTGAATCAGATCACATTGACACAGCAGGAATTTCTCAGCTTTGAAGAAGAGTCCATTAGGTAGTGTTGAAGAATTATTCATTTTCCCATCTTTCTTTTTCTCTTTGTTTTTCAGCTTTATATAGATTTTTTTCCCGGGATCTTTATGATGTTTGCCTTTGGTTTTCAGTCTTGAATTTTGACCCCCCTGTCTTGTGGAGAACTTTTTCTTCATCCCTAATCTGATGAAAGACAGCAACTGTGGCCATGCAGCCAAGCTACAGTTGCACCCTGTAAAACCTCACCAACAGGGCAAGAGCCAATACAAGCTGCTATATACCAGAGCGGTGTTTACAACCAACACCTGCTAAAAACTCTGAAGTGAGCTGCAAGAGCAGTGAACAGAGAATCGTATCTCCTGATCACACCTCCCAGGAGGCAATTGGAGCCTGCATAAGAATATACCATCATATAGTCATCTAATTACTACAAATGTAACAACACCACATTGCCTAAAAAGCAGCAGAAATTTTCAGCTCACATACAGAAGTGAGACAAAGTATCTCAAACAAACTCTCGAGAGGAGGATGTGGAGTCGGCGAATGAAAAAAAAAATTTAAAAAAACAAACAAACTCAAAGAGTCAATGGGTCATTTTGAGTCTCAGGCAGATGATGATAATGGCTCTCTTCTGATGACTCTCCGACTGACTGCCTGTTCATTTCAAAACTGTTGCTTCTTATATCCCATTTAGAATATACTATGATCTCATAACAGTCATGTACAGGCAGTTACAAATCAATCAAATATTATATTGTTACATCAACAGTACCAGAGGAACACAAGATCACCAAACATTCCTGCGTCTCTATACACCTTAGTTACTCCTTAGTTACCTTGATAACGTCTGCCTTCTGTG